CCCCTTCCGGAGCCAAGTGGCAGCACCTCCATCTCTCCTCCGGCCCAGGTAGGCAGGCCTGCAGGATTGGGCCCCGCTGGCTCCGGATCACCTCGGCTCCCCCACGGCCGTGTTGCCCCCCCCACACACACACACACACCCGACCCGGAGGTGGCTAAATGGGGAGATCTCGGACCCTCTGCTGCCAGGCGCCCCTGGCGTGACCCCAAGCGTAGTTTTTTTTTAATTCTTACATTTTAAAACCTCTTTTGCTCCCTTGAACTCAAGGCTGTCTTTTGTGTGTGCCCCCCCCCGCCAACTCAGCTCCTCCTCACAACAGTCTTGCGAGGTTGGCCAGGGTGATGGGAATGCTTGAGAAGCCCAAGCTTGGCCAGTGAGCCGCCTCCGGTATGAACCCAGGGCTCCTAATCCCACCGTCGCCCTGCTATGCCACACCAGGCGCCGGCGCTTGGCCTTCCCGATGGATGGATGGACTGGATTGGATTGTTTCCTTTTTCATCCAGAACTGAACTCAGAGCAGGATGGCTCCTCTGGGCCCCTCCCTGGAAGAGTCCAGAGAAGCAGGCCGCTGGGACCCTGTCTCCAGATCATAGGGCAGCCCACAGCCGAGGGGAGGGGAGCCTTGCTTCTGAGCCGGCCAAGCATCGAGCAGCCCCCCCCCCAGCTCCTGCAGCCCTTGCTGCTGCTCTTGCTCTAGCTGGGGCCCCCCAGCCCAGGAAGAGCGGAGGGGGGGTCCTGCCACCCCCAGGAGGGAGGTCTTCTCGGAAGGTGACCAATTGCCCACCGGGGCCAGGGCTTGCTTCCACGCCCTGCTCCAAAGTGTCTGGTGTAGGAATACCACCTGGTGGGTCGGAACCATGCTCCACATGGCAGGGTGGGTGTGAGGGCCTGGATGCGCCCCCCCTCCCTGCCCAGTGTCTCTGTCTCCCATCGGCCACCTCCCTTCCTGGCGCTTCGGCCCGCCAGTGCCACACAGAGGCAACAACCCCACTTGGTGCTGAGCCCCTAAGACTTGATGCCAGCCAGGAAGGGATGGGTCAGGCACCCCAGTTTTAAAAACAGCCTGCCTTCCCCCCCAAAGCCAGCGACCTCCTCTTCCAGCCCCACTTGCTCAGAGATCCGTGGCTTCCCCAAAGAGCACAACAAAGCCCTGGACCCCAGCTGGTGCCCCGAGACGGGCCACCCAAGGGGCAAAGCCAGCGGGCCATTCCAGGCCATGCCTTTTGAGTATTTCCAGGTGGCCGGTTTCAGTCTGCCTTTGACTTAAAATCCGAGGAGGAGAAAGGGGGGGGGGAGAGGAGATAGGAGCCTGGTTTGCCTGATGTGACCCACCAGAGCAAGAGGTCTTGGACAAAACTGTGAAAAGTGGCCATGCAGGCCGGCCAGGCCATCCTGGGAGCTGAAGACCTGAAAGAAAGGCTTCTCCAGGTACCCACAAGCCCAGCTTTACAGCAGAGCACGAGAAGGTAGCAGGTGATTAAAAGGTGGTACAATGTTCACCTTCCCGAGATGTATTCCTTGAAAGCTCCATGCCCAAGCAAGGAGACTTGCAAACAAACAGCATGGTTTTCTCCTGATGACCAATCACAAGGTGTGTGTGTGGAGGGGGGGAGCAAGGCCATGTGCAACAGGTGGAGCTGAGCAAACCGAGTGCTAGGATCCAGAAACGTCTTTTACTCCTTCAAGGGCCCTCCATTCTAGCGAAGCTCTGTGTCCTCTGTTTTGGCCCAGAGTATGAAGGGCTGTGTGTGTGTGTGTGTGTGTGTGTGTGTGAACTGTTGGGTTTGTGTTTACTTATGAGAGCAGAGGGGCTTAGGGAGTGACCGCCTGGAAAGCCAAACATCCCCTTTGTGGTTCTTGCCAAACCCTCAGCCCAACTGCTGTTTTGTGGGCAATGCCACACACAGGAGACACCTGGAGCACAACTTCCCCCCCCCCGAGCCCCCTTTTCCTGAGGTGCCTGGGCGGTTTCTGTCCTTCTGGCTTTACCTCTGTGTCAGTGGAGCGCCAGAGGGAACCCACCCGATCCTGCCTGATTTCGGAGCTAAGCAAGGTAGGGCCCGGGTGATCCACACACACACCCCCAGGAACCCCAGGGGCCTCCAAGTAGGGCCAGGAAAGGATCCTGCCTGAGAGCCCCGGGGGCAGCCCTTCAGGCCAGGGTTGGCCGTCGGGGGGGGGCCTTGACGGACCCACGCCCTGACCCATGGGAAATGGTTCCTCGTTCACCTAAAGAAGCAAGGTGGGGTCTGGAAAGGCTTGTTCCAAATAAAACCAGTTAGCCTTTAATGTGTCCCAGTATCCAGGGGTGGTGGTGGTGGTGGTGGTGGTTTTAAATCATGTTGAGTTCTGGAAAATGCAACGGTTTGTACCCTCCCGAAGATGTACGTCTGGCCCCATTACAAGCCTTGCCCACCTGTGAGCAATGGGGTCCGGTTCACCTGGTTGTGAGGTTGGTTTGGGCTGGGATTTTCTGCAAGGCCCATTTCT